CTGAAGGGAATAAACTCACAAGGATTGAGCCACATACTGTTTCCAGGTAATTTTGTACCTGCTACCTTGTTCAGTCCTCACAACAATTCTATAAACGAGGTAATTGACATTATCTCCATGTTATGCATGAAGGGCAAGAAATTCATAGAGGCGGCTTGTTTAGTGTTCACACTGCATTACTCTACCCCTTGGACATGGATCATAGTCCCTTATCTAGCTTACCAAGACCACTGTCAGAAACAAGTAGGGGAAGAACAAGAGGTCGACTATTTATGTGTTCAGCACAGTACTAGGCATATTCCATTTTTCTTCCCCCTAGTGGCCATGTCAGGAAGGTGACATTTGGATTCTGGCTACTTATCTGATAATGGGATCTTCTGCCAGAGGTAGAGGCACTAGGGTGGCCCAGAGCAGAACTTGCCCTTTGTTGTAGCTGTTACTAGTCTACACATTCAGGTCATATATGTTATCTTGGATCCCACTAACTCAGTCTGGCATTGGTAGATAGTGCGGAGCCTCGTACCCATACCTGTGGGTCTTTGAGGCTTGGCAATGTCACGGTCCTCAGAGTTGGCTGCCATGCTGCCAATATTGCCAGCAGTTTTTACCTCTTTGTCTTACAGAATGTGTGTGATATGCATTAGTCCCCTAGCCACCTGTGGGCCCAGTTCAGACTCTGCTAGGAAAGCAATATGACCTTTCTCATGCCCCCAAATTCTCTCCAGGCCTTGAATACTGTGCCTTCCATAGAAGCAAACAGTTCTTCTTGAATTATGTTAACTTTTGGTCACTGCAATGTTTTTCTCACCAGCAGGGCTGTGCGAGGTCATCTCTCATCCATCCTGAATCACAATCCTTAGGGCCTCCTTAGCTATATCTCCTGCTCTTCAAACCCTCTGTGTTCCTTTTTCAAGTGTGTAAAATATATGCTTGCAGCACATCTACCCGTTCAGACCAGAGTTCTTTTTGGTTTAGCATGTATTGAATGCAGCGTTCTGTCACTAGCATCACTCAGGAGCTAAGCCTTTAGATGTTCAAAAATGTATTAATACATTTTATTTCATCTATTCATTTATACCCTACCAATTTGGTGAAAGAAAGCTAAATAACACATGTCATATGAGCATCAATTAAAGGAGGGTGCAAAAAGAAACACAAAGGTAGAAATCAAACACTAACCTTTAATCCAAGAACTGACAGCTAAACCCACAGAAGCCATTTGGGGTCTTTGTTAGTCATTTGCCATGTGACAATGTGTTCTTCTGTAAATTTATTGGTGTGACCAAAGGTCACTGATGGACTGTGCTGGTGCTAGTAAAAGCAATCTCAGGAGGAGATAATTAATCTAATTCTCTGTTAGAGACTAGAGGAAACCTTTTACTTAGTGCCCCAAATGTGAAAGAGGAGCTATAACTGAATGCATATTCAATACCTGTCATATCAAGTGAGAGATACAATAACATGGTTGTATAAGCAGCCTGACTTTGGACACATCTTTTTTTTGTTTTGTTTCCCTCGTGCTGAAACTAAAATATCTTCTCAATATTCTATGCTTGGATTTTTGAAGAAGTTCAGCAATCAAAGGGAGAATAATCTTCATTAGAGGACTGAGAAATGTCTGCAAATTATCTGTGTATGTAAATTCTGATTAATATTAATCTGAGTAGAAAATAAAGGACTTTGCTGAAGACCATTTTGATCAATGTCTGATTCTGAGATCCTGAACCTTTCATCCAGTAACTTAAAAAACAAACAAATACTATACAAAACTTTAAGGGTAAGTGAAGGGAAAGAGAATCCTCTTAGAATTTAGACCAGTTTCCTCTAAAACACCCTGGTATTGAGTTCAGAATATATGGGAAGCCAACATTCAGTATTCTACTGGCTATACTGTAAAATCGTAAGCTGTGCCCTCTTGCATGTAAACAAAAGCTTTTGTGTGTGTGTGTGTGTGTGTGTGTGTGTGTGTGTGTGTGTGTGCGTTTATACTTTCTCATATATGGCATGCTCATACAGTAGGTTCTTTTTTTTTCTTTTCCCTTTTCCTTAATTTTGGTGACTTAGTGAACATTCTCACACACACATACATACACTCAAATTTTAAGGCAAGTCCACATTCCCCACTCCATGGAGTTAGTGGTGTCCCTGGTGAGAAACCTTGGGTCAAATTTTTCTCCTCCCGTCCCCAGTGGCCAACCATGAATAGATATTGTAACTGAAAACTAGGGCAAATAGAAATATGGCCATAGTCTTAACAAAAAATATAGAAACAACCATACTGAACATAAAAACAGGCACTGGACCAATGTGAACATAGTCAAATGTTCGGGTTTGGGCAGAACTTCTCTGGTGGTTGAACAGTTTCTTTTTCAATGGCCATAAACTGATATCTAATCATCTCCTTGTTGCTACACAGTTTATTTGAACTAAAAAAATGAGTTTGAATATTTGTGCTACAAAATGTTTATAAGTAACCTTTTAAAAGAGCAAGTTTCTTGCATTTTAATAAACCAGAATTATGATATTGTGAAAGGAGGGTCTATTTTGATAAAGGATTTGTCTTTTGAAGACAGGAACAATAACTGTAGTAGATATATTTTTTAATTTTTTATTGATTACGTTATTACATGTGTGTCCTTATCCCCACATTACCCTCCATTGTAGTAGACATTAGCACTGGCAATTTATCCTGGCACCAGAGAAAGATCCTCAGAGTAATTTGCTAGCTTCTACCCACCCAAACTTTTCCCTTTCCTTTTTGGGTCTTTGTTGAAGTACAGAATAAGTCGGTCCCTTTTCCTACATATTCTCAATGACCAGAGAAATAGAAACTTGGGCCCAGCCAGTATGGTGCAGCAGATGAACATCAGCCCAGAAACCAAGAGGTCGCTGGTTGGATTCCCAGTCAGGGTACATGCTAAGGTTGCAGGCTTGATCCCTGGTGGGGGCGTGTAGGAGGTAGCTGATCGATGATGTCTCTCTCTCTATCCTTCTTTCTTCCTCTCTCTCTAAAAAAATCAATAAAAAATTATTTTAAAAAAAACTTGGAAGTTGTCAAGAGCCAATAGGTAAACACTTACTGTATTGAAAAAGCCTGAAGTATTAAGTTTATAATGTATTTACAGCATGCAGTCAGACTTGGGGAGATGCTACATTATCTTGGATGCCAGGAATTGGAGATGAATATCTGAGGACAGTTTAGTTAAATTGGAATGAATTGGAGGCAATAGGGGACTTCTGAAGGGACACTACTTTGTATGTCCTTGGGAAACTAGTACTGTGCTTGTGAATGGCCCCAATTTGCAGTATTTAGAAAACACCACCAGACATTAAGAACTATAAAGGAAGGTACCCAGAAAGTTAGAAAGAAATGTTACCCTGAGTTTATATCTACTTTTCTACAGAGCCAGAGTCTGGTGTCTCCAACCACCTGGATGATGTGCTTCTCATTGAAGAGATTTGGTTTCCAAAATCTATTTACAAAGATGTCCTGCTCTCTGAAAGTTTTTTAAATACAATTTAGAGACGCTGGTGAAGAAATTGCTATACAACTGGCTAATGAGAAAGACATTTCAGAGCCAGTTTTTGATGGGAAATTATCCAAATTGGATAGAGAAAAAGAGTTCTGTCCCACTTTGTGGCTTTGGCCTATTAGTGACAGATGTCCACAATAATCCCATTGGTAAATTACTAAAATTGCAAAACAATGAGATTGAAGCAGCATCAGAAATATATTTTTAAAAGAGTGGCTGCCAGGGCAAAACTTTTAGCAAACACTGGATTGGCCTGTATTTTGTACCCAGTTCAGAGCACAGAAGCAAGAAGGAAATCTAAAATAAAGATGAAACTCTTACCACTGACATTCTAATCATTAAAGCACTGGGTCCAAGACAGTAAGGCATATCCCTGTGGATTAGGTTAGCTGACATACAACCAAATGAAATCCTCATTTCTCATGTGGGTGTCCTGCATATCTGTGTTACTTGATGCTTTAACAAGACCAGTGGCTATTCTGACAGGTTAGACGTCTTAGAGATACATGGGTACAAAAACAAAGGGCAATGGAGAAGGGGACACTGCCTTTGCCTGAGCATGGGCCCAGGGTATTCTGGCAACAGCCTCCACCCCTGTTCAACCAGCCCATGTGTGTGAGGAATTGGTTCTGTCCACCATTGGGCAGGTGTTTTCATTGGGCTACTACCCACTTACCAAGACAAAGTTTTTATAGCTGTGGATAGTTATGCAGGTTATAAGTTCACTCCCCTGGCAATAAAAGTAGCCACTTCAATCCACAGTTGGTGTTTTCCTCAATCTTCTGTTCAGAGATAAGTCCTGTATCCCAAACCCCAAAAATGGGTCATGATCTGATTGTCAAAATGACCTTCCACCTGTGCTACCAACCCCAATCACTGAAGAAGGGTTGAATAGTCTCCTCAATGTCCCAGCTCACAACCCTCACTAACCCTTAATTTTCAGTAAATGACTTGCAGCCCTATTGAAAGCATTTATCTTCTCAGTAGTCATGCCCCTTTATTGTGTCGTATCCCACATCCCAAGTGACAAGGGGAACAAAACCAAGGATTGTGTTAAGATGATGGAGTGCAGATAAGATTCCAGTCAACATATGGTCTGAATCCCCAGGTAAATTTGTAGTTTGGCCATGCTTAACATTAGTGGACCTGATATATGGCCTAAGCCTTTCTTTTTCAAATCACAAGTGGAGAAGCAGAATATCCTTTGTTGACTGGACTTGGGCAGAGAAAACAAAATTCACTGGGAAAAAAGAGCCCTAAAATTAAAAATTTTCAAAATTAAAATTTTTCCTTTAATACAAACTTGTGCATTGTTTGTAAATACCTGATCTAAAACAGTGAGTGGAGGACAGTTTTAAAAAACTCAATAAAATATATTAAATTACTTGGGAAAGTAAAAATGCTAATTGCAAAGTATTATATACAAATTTTAAAAGTATTCAAAAGCATTTCAAATACCAATAAGAGTTTCAAATGGAGTATTTTATTCACATATTACTTGTCTTTTTAACATATACACACACACTGACACACTCTGACTGGTCTGCGTGAACAAGGGTTGTCTAAATATCCTAATGGAAAATGAAAAATTAAAAAATATATTAATTTTTCATTGTTATACACAATTACATCCACATCACTTACAAAGCTATTACTGATTCTGTCCACGGAAGCAGAATGGTATTGGAAGAGGAAATTTGTGGGTAAGTTCATCAGTGAAACATAACTGAGATCTCAACATGAGAAAGCTGACAAAACACGAATTTTTGCTGTGAAAATTTTCTTTGCAAAATATGGAGAAAAGTCTATCAATGGCCAGTAAATAAGAGAAGGTGGTGTCAATTCTCACAGTATTGTGCAAAGATATCAAGAAAGCTGTTCAGTCCTTCTCCGGAACCAGTTTCAGAACTTTTCCAATTGCAATGGTCTTACCCTCATCTCTTAAAGTAAAACGACCCATCTGAGGAAAATCTTTGAATGTCTCAAGGCAGATAGTTCCTGCTGTCCTTAAACGGGCAATGCACACTTGATCTTGTTTCACGAAGCGGGGCCGTGTCTTACTTTTTTCTCCAGATTTTTTGTCTACCAAGGAGATTAAGGCTGTTATCTCTACTTCCTCAATACAAGTATGAATGTGCAGCACCGCATTATAACCTGGACAGATGATGGACTTGTGCTCAATAATCACTATCTGAACATCAAATGTGCGTCCAGAATGGCAAAGATTATTAGGGTCACAAAGTATAAATCCTGGAAGAATCTCTTCTTCCACATTGTGCTTGTTTGGCATCATCACAAGCTGCTGGCCTTTAAAAATGGATCCTGATTCCAGCTTGCCCAGGACCACAGTACCCATATCCTTGTACTTATCCACAATTGGCAGTCTAATTGGTCCATCAATTGATCTGTTGAAGTTTGGCAGGTTATCCAAATACGGAATAAATGGTAATTCAGTGTACCAGGGGCAGAAATCTGATTGCTCTTTAATATTTGCCCCAGTTAGCCCTGAGCAGGGCATAAAGTGAATGTCCTTTTTGGGACTGAAGCCAACTTTTTTCAAAAAGGGCACCAGTTTTTCTTTACATTCTTCATATCTCTCGCTGCTCCAATTTACTGTGGGATCATCCATCTTATTAATGAGCACTACTAAATGCTTTACACCTGCTGTCTTTGCCAACATAGCATGTTCTCTTGTCTGTCCACCTTTTTCAAAGCCAGTTTCAAACTCCCCTTTCCTGGCAGAAATGACCAGTACAGCCAAATCAGCTTGAGAAGCACCACCAATCATATTTGGGACAAAACTCTTATGGCCAGGGGCATCTAGAATTGTGAAATGTTTCTTTTCTGTTTCAAAATAGGCACGACCCACCTCTACTGTTTTACCCTTGTCTCGTTCTTCTTGATTTGTATCTAAGGCCCAGGACAAATACCAAGTTTCTCTGTTTTTTTCTTTAGCTTCTCTTTCATATTTCTCAAGTGTCCTTTTGTCAACCATTCCTGTCAAAAACATTATCTGTCCTCCAATGGTTGACTTGCCAGCATCTACGTGCCCAGTGACTACAACATTTACCTGTTCTTTTTTAGGAGCACCTGAGAGTAGGACCACAGATTTAGATTTTCTCATTTCCTCTTTCTCCATCATTTCCTGGCCACTTTCTTCTGGGGGCCCTGCATCTCCCAATGAACAACCCCCTGGCTCGGCTTCACTCATTTCTTTATTGTGCTCCCATGACTCCTCTAGAACCATCTCCACCTCTCCATTTTCTATAACAGGTTCAGAAAGTTCCATGGTGACGGCTGAATTGGAGCCTTCACACAACATTCTCTGCTCCTCTTTGGCATGTTCCACAGGTGCCCCCAGTCCCAGCCTTTTACCTTCAGGTGTGCCGGCGCCGGTGCAGGTTTCGTCAATGCTGGTGGTGTCCGCAGGGGGGGTCTGCGGCTGGGCCGGGCCCCGCAGGAAGGACGGCACGAACTCCGCGGCATGTACATTAGGCACGAAGGGTTTGGCGTTGACGTTCAGCTGACGGCTGAAGGCCGAGCTGAGGTGCTCACGCTGGGCCTCGGCCACCGCTGCTGAAGAGGGTAGGTCCCCGCCAGGGGCTGAACCCACTGCTTCCATGTCCACCTGGTCCCAGCAGTCGGGCGCTGAGTCGCTGCTGCTGCTACCCGTATCCATCATCTGAGGACCTGATGGGTGGCGGGGAGGGAGCGGAGTCAGCAGGACAGAAAGAGCGGGCTATGCAGACAGGGGGAAGGCAGCAAGAGCGCGGGGCCAAGGGGTAGCCACACCCACCTTAGTGGCAGCGCAGAGACAGCGAAGTACCGACACTGCATTCGCAGCTGCGGCAGCGGCAGCAGATATGGCGGCTCAAGCCTCTCCTCTTGTGTGTGAGCGGATCTCCTCCCCCAAACCCCAACCACTTCCGACTCCTCCACTGGCGACCCAGCGCCGGGCACGGATTGACCCCTCGCTGCCATCCGTACGGCTGGCTTCCTTAGTTCTCAGTCATGGGCTAAGTCCCAAAGTATAATTTTTTAAATGAAAATTTGTAGTTATTTGTCTCACACCATCTGGGAGAGTAATTTGACCACGATGTAATGAATAAACCTACACAGGCACATCTCATTTACATTTCTACTCAAAGATTCAAGTAAAAATAAAAATTCCTATTGAACAAACGGAGGCAGGATGTGGGTTAACTACCTGGAAACCCAGTAACCAAAGGAAGAAATTAGTGACTAGGGAGGCAATCATAATATACATGAAGATGTAGCTGAATCTAGGAAATGCAACGTTAAAGCATTCACTCATTTGAAACCCAGAGGTCTTTAGACTTTCCCTTTTTCAGTTGGCCCCCATATGCCCATAAGCTTTACGGATAGCTTCAACGGTGTAAGGATGGGGTTATAATGACTTTCCATGTTAAACACCCTACCTGTCTGCAGGGAAGAGCCTTGTCCCAGTGAAGCTCCCCAATCTACAGCATTTGTGCAGGTGCCTGGACAATGGCTGGCCTGCTATCTACTGTGTGGTGCCTTACGTACACAAGCTCCAGACTCAGATCCCTTTATTCTTCCAACAAACCAGAATCTGGGTGTACCTGCCCCACTCACCCGCACCTCCCCAGAGTACACAGTAGTTCCACAGGCTTTCCTGCCTCCTTCTGAGAGCCTGAAACCCTACTCACAGCTGGTAATGGGTTTGCTTTAAGAAAGAATCAGTGTCATGTTGGAACCTTCTTCAGTTAGTGGCAATGCCATGGGGCTATGGGTATCAGCCTAATTAAACCCATTGAGACCTCTGAAATGGGCCAAATCCCTTTAGCCAAAAAAATCTCACTCTTAGAAAGAGATTTAACATTTGAGCCTAAGCCTAGAAGTGCTACTTTGTAAATTATCTTATTCTAGGCCAGACTGAAATAGAAAAAAGAAACAGGGAAAATACAGTGTGCTAATACAAGATAAAATCATAGAGTTGTATATTAAAGAAATCTAACAAGTCAAAATGTTATAAAAATTAATAACTGATTCATAACTTTAGAATTGTGTTCTCCAGATTTTAAGAGTACAAAATAGTCCTATCTCTAACATAGTTGGGTCCTTGATGGTTTCATTCTGGGGCTACCACCCTTTTACTTAGCTCTGTGCTGTTCGCAAGCTATTAGCTATCAAAACTCCTTCATTCTTTTTGCCTCAGGTAATGTCTTTTATTTGCTGTCACATAAAGAGAATGTGCATATGTATTCACAATGAATAGGAGGAACTGAGAGATTGAATGTGCAGAGACCTTTGCACAATACTGCACAAATGTGGTGGAGACTTTATTGGACATTCTGTGAACATAGGATAGAATTAATTAAATGTCTCTGGGAGAACTTGTCAAGATTTAAGCAGACATGTTCACATAAAGTTAGTAATAGCAAGGAAGCAGGAAAGACCTGGGATATTTCCTTCATCTGGGTCAATTTCATTGATCATGAGAATATTAGCATGACTACTACTTAGTAATATTTCTGTTAAAGAACAGAGGATGCTTCACTCTTAGTTCCTTAAAGGAAAAATGAGAATTTTTGAGTGGATGTTTTCACAAACCATCATCCTTGAGGCTCAGGGAAAGGCAAGTCCACCCAAGAGAGAGAGAAACATTGACTAGGCTGTGTCCGCAGAGACTAACCTTGGACAAAGTCTTTTGGTGTATGTGATGGAGTGATCGTCTCCAGTATATCTGCCTAAAACTTTGAAAGAGTTAATTCAGTAAATGAGAGAATTCCTTTCACCAAAGGCTTTTTTAAAGTGCAGACAATATCTGTCCAGTGTTTAATAATTTTCATCTTAAGTTTTTTGTAAAACATAGCATAAATACAGAAAAATCACATAAGACAAAATTATTATATCTTATTGACTTAGAAGGGAAACATACTTATACCCACCACCCAAATTAATAATTAGAAATTTGCTGGCCAACTCAGACAGGTTCTCTATATCCCATTGAATCACAACTCACTCCCTCCACCCCTAAATGGAACCACTATCCTGACATTTATGGTAATTACCTCCATGATTTTCTGTATAGTTTTAGCACACAAATGTATGCTCAAACACTATAGTTCAATTTTGCCTAGCTTTTTTGATACTTCTTTTAAGTCTCTCATAATCTACAGGTTCACTTATTTCATATCATTTATTCATTGAAGAAAGTGGGTGGTATGACTTGTAGAATTTTCTACATTCTTGACTTTGCTGATTGTATCCCTATGGTATAGATTTGAATATTCCTTTTTGATCTGTATTTCCTGTGTATCAATAATTGGGTCTATGAGCATGATTAGACATATGTGCAATTTTTAAGCAAGAATACTTCAAGGGGGATTTTGAGTATTTTCATAAAGAGACTCATAAGGTCAAGCTGTGACTCCTTTTACAGTTAGTAGCAATTAATGATAATTATGTAAAAACATATCATTAGAGGCTGTAAAATGTGATATTGTACTTCTGTCATTCTTCCTTTTTTTATTAACTGGAATACTGCTTTAAGACAATTTCCCTTCTTCAACAATTTCGTTATTTCGAGGTACCAATTATAAAGGAAGTACTTAATTATTTCTTTTTATTTGAGAGTTTATGGATTATTAGATTTACATATATTTGATGTGTTTTAAACAATTTTCCTTATTATACTTATTGATATTAAGATGTTCCATCACTGGCCAGTGGAAGCCTCTTCAAGTTGGATTCTGAATGGTTTTGAGACTATGCTAGTAGTCCTCCATGGTTTATTATCTGGTATGACAAAATGTACCAGACCAATTGTATACATTTCTGCCAAACCAGGAATACTGGTTCCCATTGATAACAGGGGATGATGACATCATAAAATAAAACAATTATTCATTTGATTTAGCTCACTTACACATATAGTAGTCTCAGTATGACCACCACCATGAATGGAGAAAACAGATTTTTAAATAAACTCTCCATATTCTCTATCAATATATCATAGTTCAACTACATCTATCTGATAATAACCCACTTTTGTTTAGTGTTTCCTAGGTACAGCTTATATTTCAATTATTTTCTGTGAATTCCTTCATTTCATTTTCTGTAGTATTCTGTGAAGGAAGTAATCTTATCACTCTGTTTACAGATAAGAAATGGATGTTTAGTGAGGCTAAGTGAATTATCTAAGGTCACTTAGCTAGTAAATAGTGGACTTGGTGCTCAAACACAGACAGTATAATTCTAAGTCCATACTGACTTATAGAATCTATTATATACTAAGAAAAGAATAGGGAGATTTGGCAGGTTAAAATCATAAATGGGAGAAGAGGGTAAAGTATTATATTATCTAGAGGGAATGGAAATATGGGTGAATTTAAGAGAGAGAGGATAATTCAGTGAATTTCTTTTATGAGGACTTATGTTTTCTTCCTGAAGTAGGAGATGATGCTGTGGAAATTGTGAGGGAGGATTGCAATAAGAAATATGAGGAATGGGAGAAGATTTAGAATAGACTGTTGAGGTGTGGGAGAGGTGGCTGTCTTAGGAGTAGTAAAATTATTTTCTTAAGAATTCCAATTAAACAAAAGAAGTTTTGACTAGAAATGTAATACTCCAAGGTCTTGAGATTCTACTCTTCCCCCAACATACCCCTAGCATCACTGGGTGACCTGGAGCACAAGCAGAGTTTTGTTTCATCCTGATTTAAAGAATAATAATGTAAGATGGGTTGAAAGAAGAATAACAGGAAAATATCAAGGGGCTAGTGAACACAGGGTTAAGAACACTGTGTTGGATGCCTCATATTTAGTCCACAGTGATCCACAGTGGCTCTATTGGAACAAAGACCTCATGGTCACCATTATTACATGCTAGGAAATTCATTATTTTGAAATTAGGTAAGCAAAGGCAAATAATGAAACAATTATCTTGTGTTTGTCATATGAACTGTAACATTAGTTACCAAATAGTGGATGAGAGAAGTTTCTCATCAGAATAATTCCATCTAATAAATGAAGGATAGATAGAATGAAAACATCTCCACTTTAGCTTCAATGACCCAAGTGCTGTAGGCAATGACCACCAATATCTGCTCCCATTACAAAAAGAAGACATCCTTAGAGTATGTGTTGCTCTTTTTTTCCCCCAGTATATGTTTCTTGATGAACTAATACAACATTAATGTCTCTGAGACATTCTTGCCAAAATATGAAGACTGAATCATATCTATCATATCTAGATCTAAATCTCAATTTACAAGTAAGACATCTAGATGTCTAACTCCCTGACACAAATGGCAGGATTTTCTTCTTTCTCATGGGTGAATATTTCATTGTATGTCCTTTTAGCAAGAAACAGAATCTTCCACAGAAGACTCCCACACATTCCCCATTCACCTCATTGGGCAGAACTAAGTCTCAGGGACACCATTAGATATAAGGGAGGCTGGAAAAACCATCATCTGACAAAGAAGAATGGGATAGCTGTGGGGAGCTGATATAGGGTTAAGCCTTGGACTGACCTGTGGGCAAAGTCATAAACAATTCCCAGCTTAGAGGGCACAGTCCTCTTAGCATAATTAGGCTTGACCTTATGACGTTCCCTAGATCTTACTGGGGAAGCTAATGGGCTGAGGGAAGAGCAACAAGAACAAAAACAAGTGAAACTCACAAGAACAGTGTAACTTTGGTAACCACTACCTTGTTTATCTCTGACTATAAAAATAAAGGCTCAGCTTGCCTCAGGATCTTTTCTCTGTGGCCTCAGCCAGGCACAGGGAAGATCCACGGAGACTAAGGAAAGCTAGAGAGTTCTGAACACTGTCTCCGTGTAAAACATTCTTCGCCGACTCCGTCCACACCTTTGAGAACCCCTGGACCACTGGGGCTGGCCCCCACCATATGGCACCCG